CTTGCCCCTTCCCAATGCCCCTGCGTACCTCTCCGAAAGCTAACTACTATTCTGAATTATCATTTTATTTTTTTTCACAAATGTTTTTTTGTTTCACAAGTGTTTTTTTGTTGTTGTTGTTGTTTTGAGACAGAGTCTTGCTCTGTCACCCCGGCTAGAGTGCCATGGTGTCATTATAGCTCACTGCAGCCTCGAACTACTAGGGTCACGCAATCCTCCTGCCTCAGCCTCTGGAGTAGCTGGGGCTATGGGCACATGCCATGATGCCTGGCTAATTTTTCTATTTTTAGTAGAGACAGGGTCTCACTCGTGCTCAGGCTGCTCTCTTAACTCCTGACCTCAAGCGATCCTCCGGCCTCTGTCCCCCAGAATGCTAGGATTACAAGCGTGAGCCCAGCCCCTAATAGCTATGTATCTTAATCAGAGTTTTGCTTGTTTTTGAATAAATGTCTTAACATTTATTTATTTATTTTTACCTAAGTGTCTTAGGAAGCAGTGCCTGTAAATGAAGCAGGTATAAAGACTTACTCCAGGCCGGGCGTGGTGGCTCACGCCTGTAATCCTAGCTCTCTGGGAGGCGGAGGCGGGCGGATTGCTCAAGGTCAGGAGTAACCAGCCTAAGCAAGAGCAAGACCCGTCTCTACTATAAATAGAAAGAAATTAATTGGCCAACTAATATATATATATATATATATAAAAATTAGTCGGGCATGGTGGCACATGCCTGTAGTCCCAGCTACTCGGGAGGCTGAGGCAGAAGGATTGCTTGAGCCCAGGAGATTGAGGTTGCTGTGAGCTAGGCTGACGCCATGGCACTCACTCTAGCCAGGGCAACAAAGCGAGACTCTGTCTCCAAAAAAAAAAAAAAGACTTACTCCATTTAAATCCACTTGAGGTAGTTATGTCTGGGGTAAAGTCAAGCATTGGACTGAAGCAGAATTGGGGAATGGTAAAGCTATACCTGGTTAAGTAGTATATGTATCTATAAACAGATAAAATAGACTGAGTCCAGAAGCCTACAGAGAAAATTAGACTGGTGATATTGTCATTCGCATGCTTGATGACACTTGGTTTGTGGATGTACAGTAAGTATGGTAAGTATCAATTATAAATAGGCAGCCGGGGCACACATGTGGCATGTTTATCTCATGGCTCCTGCTTTGTAAGTAGCACTGACATGGCAACGATTGATGGTGTTGTGACATTAACGGTAGTGTCAGGTAATGACTAAGCATATGGACGCTGGAGCCAGAGTTGCTGTTCTGAGTCAGTGCTCCACCACCTACAGCGGTTCAACTTTGAGCCTTGGACTCTTTGTTAGTAAATGGCAATGATAATAGTACCTACCCCAGGAGAGTCACAGGTAGTCACTTTTAGCTATTGTATTATTATTATTGCAGTTATCATCTGGTATAAAAGTGTAAGCATTAAATATATGTAGCATGACATTGTAGTGTAGTGAAAAGAACGCGGAGCTCGGTATTAGATGGAGTTGGTTCATTGCTGATGTACCTACTTCTGCTTAGTCATGGGACTTCAGGAAAGTCACTGCACTTGAAGCTTTAGCTTATTCTTCTATAAAATGGTATTTGCTATACATGCTTTTAGGAAAATAAGAGTGTTTGAGTGCCTACCTTAGAGGCAGATAAATCGTAAATCATCAACAAATGATACAGTTATTGGTTTTAGGGTTCATGGGTTTGATTAACAACTCAGCAACTTACATGGGTTCTTAGTCATGAGAGATAACCCTGAGCTGCTGCTTGCTTTAAATAGGACTCAGAATTTTAATATGATCAAATGGGATCGGATCAGTCTGGAACCAAATGAAGTTGATTAACATTTGGAATAGTTATTATTAGCATATAAATATAATCTAAGCCTTTGCAACTCTTTTATTTGGTAAGGTATTTTCCCTTAGTAAGAGAACAATTTTTAATAGACTATTTTTTAGAGCAGTTGTAGGTTCATAGCAAAATGAACAGAAAGTGTGGGGAGTTTCCTGTATACCTCTAGCCTCCCCGTTATCAACGCCTCACATTGGAGTGGCTCAGAGGTTACAGCTGATGAACTGATATTGACACAGCGTTATCACTCAGAGTCCACACTTTGCATTAGGGTTCACTCTTGCTTGTACTTCTATGGGCCTGGACAAATGTAAAATGACAGGTATTCACCACTGTAATATACAGAATGGTTTCACTGCCTTCAAAATCCCATGCGTTCTGCTTATTCATCCCTCCCTCCCCCTTAGCCCATGGTAGCTTGTGATTATTTTTCTCTGTCTCCATAGTTTTGCCTTTTACAAGTCAAAAGACAAAATTAAAACAAATTTAGTAAAGATCTAAGTGGCTTTTGGTTTATGAGTCACAAATCAGGGCAATCTCCATTCTACAAAATAAAAGGAGAACTCCCACTGGGCAGTGGTGGAGTGGGTTATGTTAGGTGGGAACAAGGAAAGAGAACAAAAGGGAAAAGTGACTGATTATTATCATCAGGTTACTTCATGTTACTTTTCTTGTAAGGGTTAAAGCAGAGGGGACTTCCTTACTCAGGTGGACTGGAATCTCCTGTTTTCAGGAAAAACGGGTCTGTTTGGGGATCTACCTGCTTTCTTAAAGTTTCAGTTTGATTAAATGATACTTGGCACGAGTGACTCCATTTTGGTTTGGTCTGGTCTGTTGGGGCCGAGTGCAGGAGCTCAGTCCAAAACAACAGCCTCCTGGAATTTCTGTTTAACATCCAGAATGTTATGCAGTTGAAACCATCCAGTATGTAGTTTTTTTTCACATTGGCTTCTGTCAAGTAAGAGAAGAATTTTAACTTGTAAATTCTGGTTAGAAAAAATGTATCTGGGAAGGTTGCCCTCTCAAAGCCAACACACAGCTCCCTTCAGGGGCTGGGGACAGGCGGGGACTCCTGCCCCTGCAGCGCCAGCGGTCAGGCCGGGCTTGCAGTGTGGGAGTGCGTGGCCGAGCTGCCCTCACACCTCTCCCTCGAGACATTTTAGCTGTGTTGGACTCAGTCCACAGTGTAGGGCTATTAATAGGGCTGGGTGGGGAGGCACGGCCGTGCTAATAATTAGGTGCCTCTTCAAACTCGTGTCCTTAAGTATTTGTGCCACGTTTATTCATTGCACAGGCTGGGTCTTGTGTGAGGAAAGCAGAGAAGGAAGCAAGTTGGCTGGGCCTGGCACACGCCACTTGGCAGAACAAAACCTCTCTACTACCAGACCTTAAAAGCCAGTTTGTTGGTTATCTGTTGTTTTAAAATCTCATCAGGCACTCTCTCCCCTACTGTGTTTCCCTGAAAATAAGACGGGGTCTTATATTTATTTTTCCTTAAGAAGACACCCTAGGGCTTATTTTCAGGGGATGTGTTATTTTTTTAAGTACGGTACAACCATCTACATTTATTCAAATGTAGTTAAGTCTTCTGGAACACCATCCTCACTCTCCAAACCCCGAATTCCATCCTCAATGTCTTGCGACTCTGTTTCCTTTAGAGCCATCGGCCCCGATCTCTCCTGTCGAGCACTAGAGCTCTGACGGGGCAGATGAGAAGGCCTGCTCGTGTTCTTTCTCGCTCCGCGACGACAGGCATGGGTTGTGCAGATGCGCTGCCAGCCACGCCCGTCACCAGGGCTGATTTTCGGGGTAGCGCTTCTATCATGCACGTGCTTATCCTGCTGGGGCTTATTGTATGGGTAGGTCTTATTTTCGGGAAAACACAGTGGTAGTTTGTCAGAATCTTTCTTCCAATCAGGAGCAGCTTCTGGCAGATGCTTATCTTGATCCTGATACACAGTGGCACGTCGCGCCTCTCACAGAGGGATGCCCAGGGCAGTGTGCACCTGCCATCGCCAGCCTGACTGGGCCATCCAGCTCCTTCCCCTGTGCAGTTTAGACAAAGTTGGTTTTTCCTTTTCCGCCTGGAGTGGCAGTCCCGAAGGAAATGACCCTCGGCCCTGTCACCGACAGGGAGGAAGCCCCTCTGTGCCTGCACACTTCCCTGTCTGTGTCTGTCACTCACAGACAGAGGGACAGAAAAGCTTCGTCGACCACTGTCTGTTCTGCTTCCTGTCTGGGAGCCCTCCTCTGGGAGAGAAAGGTGGAAAATGGGTGGGAGAAGAGAGGCCTAAGGGTTCTGGGAGGGAGGAATCGGGGCCGGACACTCAGATGCAGCAACGTCCATGAACACCTTATAGGCCAGTCTTCTAGAGCAGGGGCTGGCGAATGTTTTCAGTAAAGGGCGAGATATTAAACATTTTTGGCTTTGTGGGACACACGGTCTCTGTCATGTCTACTCAGCTGCCACTGTAGCATAAAAGTAGCTTTATGTGACATGTAAAGGAATGGGCATAGCTGTGCCTCAGTAAAACCATTTATGGGCACATGTCCACTCTTTCTTAGCTTACTGGTCTGAAGTTTGTAAGTTCAATAGTGTCTGTGCTACCTGTGTATTCTTTGTAGAGATTCTTTTTGTGCTTACTTAGTAAAGCTAAGTGAAAACTAGAAAATTGCTAAATGAATCCAAGGAGGAGGGAGCTTTGCTGACCATTGGGCAGTAGAGAGGGGTGTTCCGCTAGAGGCCAGCTGGGGTTGGTGGTGGCAGGCAGCAGAGTAAGAACTGCAGGCCAAGGAGAAACTGCTGGCTACACACCACAGGTTCATTTGCTGATTCTCTGCCAATACTTTGGAGCTTCTCTATTTGCTTGGGAAGCCAATTGCAAGGGAAGCCAATCTTAATCTCCACACAAGTTCTTTGATAATGAAACTGTGTTATTTATATCTTGGGACACTTTCATTTTAGGTAATTTGTTGGAATTTTTTCCCTACATTTTTCAGTGTTAATGATCTGACCTTTTTGTGCTACTAGGCCAAGAGTTCATTAATTTTTAGATGATAAATAGCTGTTGTTAATACTTTATTTCATGTTTATTTTATTGATTTATTTTCGCATATTTAACTATCATAATCATTTTTATCTTGTATCAATAGGATCCTTACTATAGATTTAATGACCTTAACTATAGATGGATCTCCTTGGATAACTGGACCTATAGCAAGAAATTTGAAATCCCCTTTGATTTTAGGTATGTATGTATGTGCATATATATATTTATTATTATTTGAACTTTTCTTCTGTCTAGGCAATAACCTTTTGTTTTGTTTGTGTAGCTTGTGTATCAGAGACCTAAGTAAGATGTAAGCCTTGTTCTGTAAAAGTGAATATGGGATTTATGTTTTGTTTTGTATATGAGGATGGTGCCACTGATCATCAGTCATGAAATTGTGTCTTATTTAGTCATTTTTCCGATGGTTATAATGGAGTCACCTAGATCTAGTCATTTCTCTCATGTATATTTCCTCCTTGCCCCCTAGTAATTAATAGAGTATGTATATTAATAATATTTTTAAGTAGAATCAGAGATATATCATTTGCTCTGTGTGGTGCTAACCAACCACTGAGACCATGAACTTGGCCTTGCACTACATTGTGAGAGGTTTTCAGTATGTTTTATGTTGTTTATTTATTTACACACACACACACACACACACACACACACACACACACACACACACAGAGTCTCTGTTGCCTGGCTAGAGTGCCGTGGCATTAGCCTAGCTCACAGCAACCTTAAACTCCTGGGCTCAAGTGATCCTTCTGCCTCAGCCTCCTGAGGAGCTGGGACTACAGGCATGTGCCACCGTGCCCAGCTTATTTTTTATATATATTTTTAGTTGGTCAATTAATTTCTTTCTATTTTTAGTAGAGACGGGGTCTCGCTCTTGCTCAGGCTGGTTTCGAACTCCAGACCTTGAGTGATTCACCTGCCTCAGCTTCCCAGAGTGCTAAGATTACATGTGTGAGCCACTGAGCTGGGCCCTGTTTTATGTTATTGTAAGCAAATATGAGTAAAAGGTAATCCAAATATGTATATCACCACTATTGCTAAATGAAAAAAAAAATGCTGTCCCTATTATAAGAATTTTTTGGTAATTATTTAATAGTCTCAAAAAAAAAAAAGAATAAAGCCAGAATATTGTGCTCAGTATCATGGAGTTACTGCTGTGCTCCAGACTTTTATTTTCAGGTAATATTAAAACTTACAAGTATCTTCTGTAATGGTCCAGTTTCACCTTGAACTCAACATGCCCAAAACTTAACCAGTTGACTTTCCCTCTTAAAACTAACTTATATTCAACAGCCTCATTGTTTGTTTTAATGTAACAGTATTTTCCAATATTTTCATCTCTCTGTATTCAGTCTGTTTCTAAGATGTGTTAATTTTTTGCCTAACATTTGTCTTGGTTCAGCTGCTTCCTTCTCATTTCCAGCTTTCCACCTTTTTGGTGAGTGCCTGAATAAGGCCAAAGCTGCCTAAGTAAATATCTTGTTATTCTCCAGTCTTTTCTATATAGAAGGTTTAGATTCATCTTTTCAAAATATTGTTTTGCCATGACATGTTTTTGCTCAAGAATAGCAAGTGTCTTTCTTTGTCTTTGCTGGCAAATCAAAGTGTCTTCAAATCAAAAAAGTGTCTTCTTTTGTCTTTGCTGGCAAAGCAAGTATAAACTTCTCTGCTTGTCTGTGAAAATACTACTGAATGTTCCCTGTCCCTGTAGCCTTGCCTGTGTCCCTCTACCCTGCAGATTTGTCCAGCTTTCTGGCTTTGGCTCCCCCGCCCAGTTATGCATATGAATCAAGTCTTTTACCTTAAAGAAACCATGCTGTTAGCACTTCCTTGCTCTGGCTTTGTCCCTTCTTGGTGATGATAGGGGTGGTCTACCCTCTACCCAGGCATTTCTACCGATCTTTTTCTTTTTTAAATAACAACTGTATTGAGAAATAATTCACATACCATATGATTCACTCATTTAAAGTGTATAATTCAGTGGTTTGGGGTCTATTTACAGAGTTGTGAAACCATCACCATAATGAGTTTTAGAAAGAGCATTTTCCTCACTCCTCCTGAAGAAAGCCATGCCCACTAGCGGTCATTCCCCATTCCCCAACTCTTCCTGCTCCCAGTGCTTATTCCAGCCATAAGCAGCCACTCGTGTGCTTTCTGACTGTCTGGATTTGTCTGTTTTTCACACCTCATAGATATAGGATCATGCAATATGTGGTCCTTTGTGACCAGCTTCTTTCACTTAGCATAATCACGTTTTCAAAGTTCTTCCATGTTGTAGCATGTACCAGCACTTCATTCCTTTTTATAGTTGAATAATATTTTTTGGTATGGATATAACACACTTTATTATTTTTCTCTTCTCTAAGTTGTTTTTCTTGAAGTGTTTTCTTAGGAGATGAAGTCTGATAGCTCTTGTAGTTTTCTAACAAGATTGCCAACCAGCCAACGAATACCAACCAGATTGCCGACTCCTTACATTCAGAGACTGTTATAGTTTCCTGTAAGGCTTAGCAGAGCACTGAGCACATTAATATTAACTCATAGATACTAATTAGTTGGGTAACGTGCCCTCTTAGATAGTGTTAGTAAATGTTACAGTTTGTGAAAATGTTTTGTGTCTATTATTTATCTTGGTTCTCTTAAGAACTTTGTGAAGTAACTAGAAAAACATTAATATATTTGGAAATTATAAGTTTTGCTCTTGATTTTATGGTGATTATTGATAGATTATGGAGAAAAGCTGGATCACTCAAAGAACACAAACATATATTAAACCAATACTTCTGAAAATTTCACTGGAAACTGCTCTTTAAGGATACATATTTTTGTGAAATATTTATTTCTTTGGTTCTTAACTAATTACAAAAAAAGACTTATCTAGGTTAATGTTTTATAGATCTTGTTTTAAAAACTCTTTTCTTTTTTTAGCAAATGGCAAAAAGTAAATTTGATTTTTGAGGGAGTAGATACAGTTTCAAAAGTCCTGTTCAATGAAGTCACTATTGGGGAAACAGACAACATGTTCAGTACATATGTAAGTATATAATGACATCACATTAAAAAAAACACATTTATGTGTGTTTGTTTATGTTAATTGTTTTTCTGAGTAACGAAAGGTTAGTGCATAATTGGCTGTGCAAAAAGTACAGGCTGTATGAAACACTGGATAAATTACTTTACTTTTCAGCTGCCACATTTGTAGAATGATAGAAACACTGCAAACCCCCTGGTGTCACTGTGGGGATCGAATAAGCTGATTATATAAAATGGTTGGCAAGTTCTTGGCACATGGGAAGTGTTCAGTGAATGCCGATCCGCTCTCTGTTGTTTGGTGACACAGAGTTTCATGGGAAATGACAACTGATAAATGATTTTAAAAGGAAACATTCTTTTCTCCCTGGAATAATTAAATTCAGAGATTATATGCTGATCGTCCTTCCCTTTCAAAGGTAGACTTTTCAAAACAAAAATAACTTAGAAATACATGCTTTCACACCAGAGTCAGGTTGTCAGAAGTGTAGGGCATCTGTGGCAGTTCCAGGCCACGCGTAAATAGCCAGAGCTGACGTTCCAGGAGTAAAGACATGTATTTTTGCTCTGTTATTTCCCTGAGACAGTCCTTCTATCAGGAAAAGTAGAGGGAGAAACTTAGAAATAGGAAAATATGCTTAGCTGTAACCAAAAGTGGGCAACTGAGTCACACTACAATATTTCTGAGAGGTGCTCCCTCTTACCAGAAGGCCAAACCCCGATTTGAGTTATTTTACGCACCGTTCACACATTCTGCCTTTGTCCGAAACTGTCTGCGCAAGACCACGTCACATCGTGTGCCTGTGTTCGCTCCCCTGGCCCAGGGTTTCGACGTCAGCGGCCTGGTCGGCGCGGCCAACTCGGTGGAGCTGCGCTTCCAGTCGGCGGTGCTGGCGGCGGCGCAGCGCAGCCGGGCCCACGCGGGCCCCCCGCCGCTCCCCGCGTGCCCGCCGCGCGAGCAGAAGGGCGAGTGCCACGTCAACTTCCTCCGCAAGGTGGGCCGCTGGGGGGTGCGGCCGCTGGGGGGTGCGGCCGCTGGGGGGTGCGGCCGCTGGGGGGTGCGGCCGCCATGGGGGGCGGCTCTGGGGGGAGCTGCGGTCGCAGGGGGCGGTCGCTGGTGGGGGGCCTCTTAGGGGGAGTGCGGTCGCAGGGGGGGGCGGCGCTGGGGGCGGCCTCTAGGGGAGGTGCGGTCGCAGGGGGGTGTGGTCGCTGGTGGGGCGGCTTCTAGGGGAGGTGCGGTCGCAGGGGGCCGCCTCTGGGGGAGGTGCGATCGCAGGGGGGTGCGGTCGCTGGTGGGGGCGGCTCTAGGGGGAAGGTGCGGTCGCAGGGGGGGGCGGCTGGGGGGGCGCCTCTAGGGGAGGTGCGGTCGCAGGGGGGTGTGGTCGCGGGCGGTGTGCGGCCGCTGGTGGGGGGCGGCCGCGTGGAGGGGGTGCGGTCGCTGGGGGGTATGCGGCCGCTGGGGGGTGCGCGTCACCGGAGGGCAAAGCCCGCTGGGGGGGTGTGGCCACTGGGAGGGGTGCAGGCGCTGGGAGGGGTACAGCCGCTGGGGGGTGTGTGGCCACTGGGGGGGGTGCAGGCGCTGGGAGGGGTACAGCCGCTGGGGGGTGTGTGGCCACTGGGGGGGGGCGCTGTCTCTGAGGTGCGCGTGGAGCGCTTGTTTGAAGGCGCCGGTGGCATTTCAGAAGCTGGGAGTCTCTTTCCTGGCCCTTCATGGGATTTGAAATAAGCACGGAAAGATCATCTGAATTTTTGTGGCCAGTCTTCATCTTTCTAAGTTTCCTTCTGAAGCCTGTTTCAGACCGTAGTAACCTCAGAAAAAGAAGAAAAGCATGTGGCTGATAATGTAACTTTGCAAATTAGGTTTTAACATTTAGGTTTATCATGATTTCACTATTTTGTAAAAATGTATTAGTGATTCTTTTTATTATGAAGCTTTCTGAAAATATTAATATATTTGCTGCCATAGTTTCATATTTTCCTGCTAAGTTCTCATAAAATTGAACAAAAAGATAAAATCCACCAAGATAATTATTTTTCTTTGAGTCTGATCCAGTCTAGAGGACTTGGACTTATTCTAATATGTGATTAAATTATTATTCTATGTGATATTTAGTTTTTTAATGTTTTTCATTTTTTAAAAAATTTTTAATTGTGGTAAAATATACACAACAAAATAATTTATTATCGTAACCACTTTTAAGTATGCAGTTTAGTAGTGTTAAGTATATTTACACTGCTGTGCAGCCAATCTCTAAAATTTTTTCATATTGCAAAACTGAAACTCTATACCCATTAAATAACAGCTCCCCATTTCTCCCTCTCCAGTCCCTGGCAACCGTTTCCCCCTATTCTTTTCTGTGAGTCTGATTCTTCTAGGTATCTCACATAAGTGGAACCAAACAGCATTTGTCTTTCTGTGACTGGCTTATTTCACTTACCATAATGTCTTCAATGTTCATCCATGTTGTAGTATATGTTGAAATTTCTTTCCTTTTTAAGGCTGAATAATATTCCATTCTGTGTATATACTACATCTTGTTTATCTATTCCTCTGTTGATGAGCATTTGGGTTGTTTCCACCTTTTGGCTATTGCGACTCATGCTGCTATGAGCAGGGTGCACAGATATCTCTACAAGACCCTGGTTTTAGTTCTTTGGGATATGTACCCAGAAGTGGTATTGCTGGACCCTATGATAATTCCATTTTTAAAATTTTCGAGACATTGACATTTATTTTTAGCAACAAATGTAATCATTGGGTTCATTGTGAAGATACTAAGCATGTTTTTCGAATACTCTTTAGTTAAAACTGTTAAATTAGCTAACAAATTCTGATTAAGTGGCTCTCTTTAGGATAAATTATGTTTCCTGAAGGTAAGTGCTAGGGTTAAAATTATAACCTCCTCTTGTTTGATTCAGCCTACCCAAATTTGTGTCAGTGACTCACTAACCATTTGTTCATGTTACTGTAACTGAATATCTTAGAGTATCACCATAACAATATTCAGCAGTCAAGTAGTCCATGGAATACTTGTGTACTTCCACTTCTGTATAAGAGTCATCTTTTGGTTTTTCTTTTTTGCCTTGGGCTTCAAATAACACAGTGATTTCAATGCTAGAAGTTGCACTCCCCCCTTCCTTCCATTTTTAACCTTCAGCAAAACCAGGACTATCCTGGATCCTGATGTGAAAAGTTACTTTTCAAGTTGACATTAGAGGTAGTATATATGTTACACCTATATTCATGTGGTATTTTTCCTCTACCCTCTATTCAATTTGTAGCAATTAAAACATACTCTAAATTTATCTATAATAAATAGAACAAAGCCCTTTGTCACCGAAATCACCAAGTGGACCTAGTTTTCTGCTATCACAATGTGTGGGACACTAACCTGGGGGCAGACTTCCAGAACAGTTGCAAATTGCATCTTGGTGTTTCTGGCTAGATTGACAAGGTCTAGTGGGAAAAAACCTGAGTTGGAGACCAAGTCAGGAGTCTCGAATCTGAATTCTGGTGTTATAAACATGGAGTGACCTTAGGCATGCCTGTCACTTGTATATGGAGCTAATAATCCCTGTCCTTCCTTCCTGATAGTGTTATATGAGGGTACAGTGAAATAATAATATAAATGTACTTTGAATACTGTAAAATGCTATGCAACAATCCAAAAAGTAGGGTGGTGATATTGTCTATATTGGAGGCTTATTACTATAATTTCAGTTTTCTAAATTTGCAGTGAACAAAATGTCTCAGCTTAGCTTCTGTGAGGTCAGTGCAGTAGAGCTGGGAAGTAGGGTGTCGAGAGGGAAATGTTACTCTCCTTCCCCAGTTCTTTGATTCCTCCACTTTCTCCATATCTACGTAAGTCCCCACTTCCTCTGCTTCCTTCTCTGTCCAGTGTAGACGGTAGGATCCATCACTTCAACTACACTCTTAACCAATGTTCCATATCATCCTTCTTGTTTCCATCTCTGGCTGTTCCTTCTTAATCTCTTTATCCACATCCTCCTTCTCTTAAAAGTCATGTTATTCAGGCCCCTCTGTGTACCAGCTACTTTTCTGCTCTTATTTTACACCCTCTCTAGGATATCTCATTTTATCTTCATTTCTTAAAAAACTAATGTATTTGCCAATGATTCCCATTATTGAATCTTCAGTCCAATCCCCCCCCTTTTTTTGAGACAGAGTCTCGCTTTGTTGCCCAGGATAGAGTGAGTGCCGTGGCGTCAGCCTTGCTCACAGCAACCTCCAACTCCTGGGCTCACGTGATCCTACTGCCTCAGCCTCCTGAGTATCTGGGACTACAGGCATGCGCCACCATGCCCGGCTAATTTTTTCTGTATATATTAATTGGCCAATTAATTTCTTTCTATTTATAGTAGAGACGGGGTCTCACTCTTGCTCAGGCTGGTTTTGAACTCCTAACCTCGAGCAATCCACCTGCCTCAGCCTCCCAGAGTGCTAGGATTACAGGCGTGAGCCACCACGCCTGGCCCCAACCCTTCATCAATTCCAGACCTTCTATAGTACCCAGATGCCTATTTGGCATTGTCACTTGCCTGATTCACAGGGACCTGAAGCTCAGTATGACCAACAGTGCATTCATGATCTGAACCCTTCTCCTGAAATTCCCTCTCTTGCTGAATGGAAGACTGTCCACACAGTCGCTCAGGCTAGAAGCCCAAGGATTATTTTTGATGCCTCCCTCTCTCTTTTTTTTACCTTCCTCCAATCCTAAGTCCTCTTGATAATGTGGATGGGACCTTTTCAATAGCTCTTGAACCAGTCCCTGCTCCATTTCTACTGCTGTGTCTTGAGCTCAGTCATTTCTTGCATGGAATATTGCCCTGGTTGTCTAACTGGCATCCCTACACCCTCACTTGCCTTCCTCTCATTAATTGTACACAGAGCAGCTAGAATGGTCTTGTCAGACAGCAATGATCACAGCACTCCCTCAGACTCTTCAGCAGCTTCTTGTCGTGGCCCGTTTGCAGGATGGAGAATGAACACAGAACACAAAAAGACACACACATATACAAAGATGGTTACAAGACTGCAGTGCAGAACACACTAGTCGTTTTATTTTTATACCCCCAAAATCAAAGTTAGTTCCTTGTACATGCCCACCCAGGTGTGGCAGCGATAGCCATAGATTCCGGAACACATAGCCTAAGGACACAGATGTCTCCTGACTCAAGGTTTCCAGGCAGTTGCTCCAGGTGCCAGGCATAGATCACAGACCGAGATTAGCAAGGCTGGGCAAGGCCGCCGCTGGGGGCATTTTTTTTTTTTTTTGGCATATTATGGGGGTACAGATTTTAAGGTTTCAATAAATGCCCATTTCCCCCCGCTGGGGGCATTTTTCATCCCCACTTCCTCTTAGGCCGATCCCCTGTGGCTTTGCCTGGCTTAGGTCGCCCCTCCCTTGAGGGGTCTTACCCGTCATTGACTAACCAGCCATCTTATGGGGCTAAGCAGCAATCAAAAGAACAATGTGCTTATTGTGTGGCCTCCAGGCCTCCACTTATCCTGGGGCTGGGCAGCTCTTGCCTCAATGCAGAAACTCAGGCCCTTTGTTATGCATCTAGGCAGCAACCGTGTTTGTCACAGGGACTTTGTCCAGAACACATTACTCTCAAATGCTCTGGGCAGAACACGTATATTACTCATTAAATTTAATTCTTATACTAGGAAAATATATGTCAGTACCCTACACTTCTCGTTGCCTTTGGCCAATGTCCATGGTCCTTCGTTCTGTCTGGCCCTGCCCACTTCTGCAGTCTTCTCTCACCTCTTGCCGTTGCTTTCTCTTCGTCTCCCAGAAGGCAGCATGTTGTTCTGCTCCTCTGGACCCTTGTACACGTCGCTCGGTCTGAAGAGAAAGCTGCTCACCTCTCCCCTAACACAGTGGCAAACGGTGCTGACCCTCAGACCTGCATATAAAAGTCACTCTTTTTCAGGGAAATTTGTCTTGATGTCCAGACCTTCCACCCCCAACCTCTGGCTATATGTTCCCTGCCTATTTCCCTTGTAAAACTCATGCTTGTAATTATTTATTCAGTGCCTGAATTTCCCACTCTGCTTGTGTGCATTATAAGCAGAAGGACTGTGTCTTTCTTGTATATTGATACATTCCCAGCCTGAAACCCAGAAAGCATTGCAGATACACTTCCTGGATCAGTGGAAACTCTCATCTGGAGAGGCTGAGTGAGTAAGAGTGATTTGTAGCCTTGGCTGGGGAAAATAGTCTGTCTTATAGGACGCTGAATATTTTGCTCTCCCCCTTGTCCGTATCTCCAATGAAAGAATTACATGTGTGTCCTACAAACTCTCCAACAAATGTCCCCAAGATGGTTTTCATCCTGAATATGAGTGTCCGATACTTAAGGGGTAAATTTAGACAGATGCAGATGCAGTTCTACAAAGCAGCTTTAGTTGTTTGTTTTTCTTTGTAGTGGAAACAAATTTATCTGTATTTTAGATAAATACAGAGCTAAAGAAATTATACTTAAATGAGAACAGTTTGGTGAAATCCGTAGGCTTTATTCCCCGAATGCCTCCATTCAGAAGGATCTTAGTACTTCCTCTGGTGCTTGTTCCTTTTAAAAAGCAGAACCTGTAGCCTCACACATTTTAATTAACTGGGTTTTGAAAATATTTTTTTTTTTCTTTTAAGAAGTAGAAGTGGACTGGGTATGGTGGCTTATACCTGTAATCCTAGCACTCTGGGAGGCTGAGGTGGGAGGATCATTTGAGATCAGGAGTTCAAGACCAGCCTGAGCAAAAGCAAGACTCCGTCTCTACTAAAAATAGAAGAAATTAGCCAGATGTGGTGGCAAGTACCTGTAGTCCCAGCTACTTGAGAGACTGAGGAAAGAAGATTGCTTGAGCCCAGGAGTTTGAGGAGCTATGATGATGCCACCACACTCTACACTGGGCAACAGAGCAAGACTGTGTCTCAAAACAAAACAAAATACAACAAACAAAAAAAAGAAGTTCGAAAAAAATCTACTTGAAAGGGATTTAAGTGTATCATTTCCTGTTTGTGAATTTGAACCTTTATAACTTAATGTGGACATCTAGTGTCATGAAGGGAGAGACAGGTAGCCAGGTTGAATAAGATTTGATAAAAATTCTGCCTTGACCACCTGTATCAGTGTCTAAAGTTTGAACTGAATGTTTTTTGCCTCTGTTTTTGGAAACAAGGACTTTTGAATTCATACTCAAGGAAGTAGGGGTTGGCAAGTCTAGCTGGGTTTTATTTTTAAGAAACTGTTATTAAAATTTTTATTTTCAATGTTTCCTCATTCTTTATAATTATTACATTTAAATACAATATTCTTTATATATAGTTTTTTTTTATTTCGGCATATTATGGGGGCACAAATGTTTAGGTTACGTATATTGCCCTTGCCCCACCTGAGTCAGAGCTTCAAGCATTATATATAGTTGTTACGTTTAAATACGATGGTTAGTTTCAGAGATATTTTGGAATAGTTTAAAGGGTATTGTGTTGCTTCAGTGTATATGCTTTTGAAGAATGAATGTACAACTCTTCATAATTAAGTTTTATGTTCTTAGAACATTTCTGCAAGATTTAACTATGTTGCATAGGTTGATATATTATTAGTTATTGTATTAGTTATTTATTGCAGTGTAACAAATTATGCCAAAACTTATCAGCTTAAAGCAACATTTATTATGGTAGTTTCTGTAAGTCAGGATTCTGAGTTGCAGCTTAGCTGGCTGCCCCTGGCTCAAGGTCTCTCAGTGAGGTTACAGTCACTGAGCTGTCGGCCAGGGCTGCAGTCACCTCCAGCTTGACACAGGCTGCATGTCTGAGGTGAGCTCACCTGTGGTTACTGCAGGCCTCAGGTAAGTGGGTTCTTCCCACAGAGCTGCCCCGGGACACAGCAACAGGCTTCCGTGTTGGCCAAGAGAGGGCACGAGAGAGTGCTCACACCTGAAGGCTTAGTCTTTTATAACTTAATTAACGAGTAACATCCCTTCCGCTATATTCTGTCGGTTAGAAGTGATTCACTAGGTCCGACCCATACTCAAGGGGAGGAAAGTACACAAGGGCATGAACACCAGCAGGGCCTTGTGGGCCTTGTTAGAGGCTGCATGTGGCGGCAGGGCATACAGGCATACACAGACAGTTAGGGGCTGACTTGTGGCCCTCCAAAATTTATATGGTGAAGTCCTAGCTCCCAACACCTCAGAATGTGATCATATTTGGAGATAAGGTCTTGAAAGAGGTGATTAAGTTAAAATGAGGTGGTTAAGTAGACTCTATTCCAATGTGACTGGTACCCTTGTAAGAAGACGAAATTTGTACAACCGAGAGGGATGCCAGGGATGCTTGGGCACAGAAAAAAATTATATGAGGACAGAATGAGAGGGTGGCTGTCAACAAAACCAGTAGAGAGTCCTCAGAAGGAACCAAACCTGCTGACACTCTGATCTTATACTTCAGACCTCCGGAACTGTGAGAAAATAAATTTCCATGGTTTAAACCACTCTGTTTGTAGTATTTTGTTATAGCAGCTGTAGCAGACTGATATATAGTTTTAAAAGAAATTGTTTTTCATAATGTTTAAATTTCATGGTAATCAGAATATATCTTCTTTTTTTCCCCTTGAAATTATAGGAGCAATGTTCCTTTAGTTGGGACTGGGGGCCTTCCTTTCCTACCCAGGGAATCTGGAAAGATGTTAGAATTGAAGCCTATAATATTTGTCATCTGAATTACTTCACCTTTTCCCCAGTATATGGTAAGCTAAGAGATGTGATTTTATTTTTTTAAGTTTCCTCCTTGTCATAAAAATTGGGTTTATAATTGCAATATATAGGTATATTTTCAGAGGTTTAGTTTTCTTTGCATTTAATTTATGAAAGTAAAAATAGATACAAACTGATTTGTCATGAAAATGGACAATATAAAGCAGGTAGGTAGATAGATACCTTTCAGCATACTTTGCAAAGAAAAAAAGAAAAGAGAGAAAAAGAAAGCAAACAGTAGCTCCAAGGTTTCTAAGGTAAGTATTCTCTCCTGAAACAACCGGGCTGGCCAGACCGTACTTCTTTATGCTGCCTCTCCAGTCACTTTGATGTCGCATTCTCGGCTTGCTCAAATCGTCAGGTGGACTTTCTGTCCCTGCACGATTCCTTCATAACTAGGAGCACTCCTGGGAGGGCCCTGACACACAAGCCTTTCAAGAGTTGGAAATGAACTGCAGCTTCCAGGTGAAGAATACTTTTCCAGTTGAAAGAATGATTCATTGTCAAGAAGCATTGAGAGAAAACCTCAGAAATCCCACAGGCCTCACCGAGTCAGTTAAAAGCTGGTCAAATACTTGCTGAGTTCTTTGCTCAGCACTGTGTGTGCTCTCCCGTGGTGCACGCTGTGGGGGGAGGGGAGATGGAAACAATCAGCGAACAAAACAAGATTGTGTAATATTCATAGTCTTCCAGGATGAGAGCCAGAAAATCAGAGATCAGTAAGGACCTGAGAAGTTGGGGAAATCGAGGGTGAAGTGGGAGGCAAGTGAGCTCTTAGACGACAGCACGCAGCGTTTAGTTCAGTCGTGTGGAGGCCTGACTGGATGAAGTCAGCAAGGAAGAATGTGTGCGAATGCAAGAGTTCTGCTGTCTTCAGAGCCCTGGCGACCCTACATTGCTATTCAGTTGAGCCAAATCTATATTTTCTGAAGGTAGAAGACAAAAGCAAATGAGAGAAGGTTGGTAACTGAGGAGGTTATTTGGTGCTGCTGATATTTTCAAAGGTTAAAAAGATCTAATTTCAAAGATCTAATTCAAATTGCACATGTAACCCAAACTGAAGATTTTGGCTGTTAAAATCAAATAATGGTTAATTCTCCCTTCATCCGCCATCCCCACCCATAAGTTTTCTCAGGTATATGCAATAAAATCAGACTCCTTCAGTGGTCTGATATAGCAAAAAGTTATTTAATGATTTGGAAGCTTGATCAGTGATTTAGGTGGTTTGCAAAAAGTACTAGAAGTTCCATGTACCCTAATACCTGAAAAAAATTTCAGTAACACTGCTCTAGTTTAATTTAAAACTGTGAATATGAAACTAAACATCTCTCCCTGAATATGACTTTATTATGTGGAATTCAGTTTATTAGTCACTAGTGACTGGGTAAATTTTATATGAATTAAGTCAATTTAAATGATGCTTAAAATTCAATTTAGATTCAGTGTAAACAATTCCTCATATCCAATACATTCTGGAAGGTTTTGCTTTTTTCTTGATACATAACATTTGTACATATTTTATGGGGTACATGTGATAATTTGTTACATGCATGGAGTATATAATGATCAAGTCAGGGTATTTAATATACCCATTGCCTCAAGTATTTATCATTCCTACATGTTGAGAATATTTCAAGTCCTCTTGTATAGCTGTTTTGAAATATACAACATGTTGTTAGTTGTACTTACCCTACTCTATTGAACATTAGAACGTATTCCTTCCAACTAACCGTATGTTTGTACCTATTAACCAACTTCTCTTCATCCCCTCTTCCCACCCACACGTCCTTCCCAATCTCTGGTATCTGTCATTATATTCTGTACCTCCGTGAGATCAATTTGTTAGCTCTCACATATGAGTGAGAACATGTGAAATTTGTCTTTCTGTGGCAGGTTTATTTCACTTAACACAATGAGCTCCAGTTTCATCCATGTTGTTGCAAATAACATGATTAAATTATTTTTATGGCCAAAAAGTATTCCATTGTGTATATATGTACTGCATTTTCTTTATCCATTTGTCTGTTGATGGACAACTTAGGTTGATTCCTTATCTTTGCTATTGTGAATAGTGCTACAATAAACATGGGGGTGCAAGTGTCTTTTTCATGTACTGATTTCTTTTCCTTAGGATAAATACCCATTAGTGGGATTGCTGGATTGTATGGCAGTCCTGTTTTTAGTTTTCTTGAGAAATCTGCACATTGATTTCCATCATGGCTGTACTAATTTACATTTCCACCAACGGTGTGTAAGAGTTCCCTTTTCTCAGCATCCTAGCCAGCATTTGTTATTTTTTGTCTTTTTAATAATAGCCATTCTAGTAGGATAAGATGATATCCCTTTGTGGTTTTGATTTGCATTTCCTTGATGATTAGTGATGTTGAGCATTTTTTCATATACCTTTTGGGCATTTGTATATCTTCTTCTGAGAAATGTCTGCTTATGTCTTTTGCTCACTTTTCAATGGGATTATTTGTTTCTTTTCCTGTTGAGTTCCTTATATATCCTGGGTATTAGTACCTTGTTGGATGAATAGTTTATGAATATTTTCTTCCATTCAACAGGTATATCTTCACCATGTTGATTATTTCTTTTGATTTGCGGAAGTTTTTTGGTTTGATATAGTTCCATTTGTCTATTTTTGTTTTTGTTGCCTGTGCTTTTGAGATCTTAGCTGTAAAATTTTTGTCTAGACCAATGTCCTGAAGTGTTTCCCTTGTGTTTTCTTTTAGTAGTTTTTTTTTTTTGAGACAGAGTCTCACTTTTGTTGCCCAGGCTAGAGTGAGTGCCGTGGCGTCAGCCTAGCTCACAGCAACCTCAAACTCCTGGGCTCAAGCGATCCTCCTGCCTCAGCCTCCCAAGTAGCTGGGACTACAGGCATGTGCCACCATGCCCGGCTAGTTTTTTGTATATATATTTTTAGTTGGTCAATTAATTTCTTTCTATTTTTAGTAGAGACGGGGTCTCGCTCAGGATGGTTTCGAACTCCCAACCTCGAGCAATCCGCCCGCCTCGGCCTCCCAGAGTGCTAGGATTACAGGCGTGAGCCACCGCGCCCGGCCTTCTTTTAGTAGTTTTATAGTTTGGGGTCCTATGTTTAAGTCTTTAATCCATCTTGTGTTGATTTTTGTATATAGTTAGAGATAGGTATCCAGTTTCATTCTTCTGGATGTGGATATCCAATTATCTCAGCACGATTTACTGAAGAGGGTGTCTTTTCCCCAGTGTATGTTATTAATGCCTTTGTCAAAAATAAGTTGGTTGTAAATACATGGATTTATTTCTGGGTTTTCTATTCTGTTCCATTGGTCTATGTGTATGTTTTTATACCAATGCCATGCTGTTTGGTTACTATAGACTTGTAATATATTTTGAAGTTAAGTATGTGACACCTCTAGATTTGTTCTTTTTGCCCAGAATTGTTTTGGCTGTTTGAGCTCTTTTTTGGTTTTGTATGAATTTTAGGATTGTTTTTTCTATTTCTTTGAAAAATAATGGTGCTATTTTTATAGGGAATGTATCAATGCATCCCCTATAAAAAATCTGTAGATTGCTTTGCATAATATGGTCATTTTAATGATGTTAATTCTTCCAATCCATGAGCATGGGATGTCTTTCCATTTGTTTGTCTCTTTTTCAGTTTCTTTTATCACAGTTTTATAGTTTTCATACAGAAGTCTTTTACCTCCTTGGTTAAATTTATTCCTAGGTATTTTATTCTTTTATAACTATTATAAATGGTATTGTCTCCTTGACTTCTCTCTCAGCTAATTCATTATTGGTGTCTAGAAATGCTACTGATTTTAGCTGTCAATTTTACATCCTGCAACTTTATTGAATTTATTTAACAGATCTAAGAGTTTTTTGGTGGAGTCTTTAGATTTTTCTGGATATAAGATCATGTCATCTACCAAGAGGGACATTTCAACTTCCTCTTTTCCCATTTGGATTTCTTTTATTTCTTTCTCTGGCCTGGTTGCTCTGGCTAGAACTTCCACCGCTATGTTGAACAGGAGTGGTGAAAGTGGCATCCTTGTCTTGTTCTAGTTCTTAGAGGAAAGGCTTTCAGCTTTTACCCAATCACTATGAGTTGGGTGTGGGTTAATACTAAATGGTCTTTATAATGTTGAGGCATGTTCCTTATATACCTAATTTGTTGAGAGTTTTTACTATGAAGTGGTGTTGAATTTTATCAAATGCTTTTTCTGTACCAGTTGAGACAATTGTATGATTTTTGTTCTTTATTCTCTTTATGTCATATATCACATTTATTGATTTGTGTATGTTGAACTATCCTTGCATCCTTGCATAAATCCCACTTGATTGTGGTGTATTGTCTTTCGGATGTACTGTTGGATTCAGTTTGCTACTATTTTGTTGAGGATTTTTGCATTTATGTTCATCAGGGATATTGGCCTGTAGTTTTCTTTTTTTGTTGCATCCTGGTCTGGTTTTGGTATCAGAGTAATTCTTCCATGTAGAATGAGTTAGGGAGTATTCGCTCCTCTTCATTTTTTTGAAATAGTTTAAGGAGAATTGTTGTTAGTTCCTCTTTGTAAGTTTGGTGAAATTCAGCAGTGAAGCCATCTGGTCCTGGACTTTTCTTTGTTGGGAGATTTCATTACTGATTCAGTCTTGTTACTCATTATTTGTCTGTTCAGATTTTCTATTTCTTTCTGAATCAATTTTGGTAGGTTATATGTGTCCAGAAATGTATCCATTTCCTCTAGGTTTTCCAGTTTGTTAGTGTATAGTTGTTCATAATAGTCTCTGATGATCTTATTTCTGTGGTATCAATTGTAATGTCTCCTTTATCATTTCTGAATTTGTTTATTTGGGTCTTCTCTCCTTTTTTATTGATTAGTTTAGCTAGTGGTTTATTGATTTTGTTTATATTTCTGAAAAATGAACTTTTTGTTTTATTGATCCTTTGTATTATTTTTTCAGTCTTCATTTAGTTATGCTCTGATCTTTATTTCTTTTCTTCTAA